CTTTTTTTGGAGTTTACTAGCGGAAGTTATGAAAGAAATATCGTAGTCGTATATTGGCTTGTTAGCTGACTATGAGAAACGGATTGAACCTGTTTACAACTACGGGCCGCCGCAGAGCAGCACGGGAATAATTTACGATGATATGCCGAACATATCACGAAGTATTCACGAAGCTGGTCAGGAACAAGAAGTCACTAACATCGTGCCGGCAATACAACGATAGTCGGCAATATTACGATCAAATGAATGTTTAGCATTTACAAGGCCATAATTTCAGGATCAATGATAAGGTTTAGCCAACTGACAAAAACCAAGCCAGTATTTCGATATTTTCGTGAATTTGATTTGCATTTTTCCGCAACAAGAAACTGCGCTGAGATGAGTTTTCTCGCACGTTGATTGGTCAACAGACGTACCCCCTGTGAACAAGTGGAACGCCGCTAGTCGAGTCTGACAACACACGCTCTGCGTAGATTTTCAATATGGCGAACCCGAGAAAATTTGCCGAGAAAATCGCGCTACACAAACAAAAACAGGAGGAAGAAACTCGTGCTTTCGAACAGGTTATGAAAGAAGTGTCCATGCTCGAGGTATTTTTATTTTTCTTGATTGGGAAATAATTTCTTTTCTCGGATTTTATGGTCAGTGATGATTTGACACAGCTGAACGTTGGTTTTCTTTGCTTATAAGACAACTAGAAAGCCCCAGCTTCACCAGCAGCAGATACAAGCGCATTACCGAGGTGGATCCCTGCCGAATGTGAACCTCAGCTTAGCTAATGCACAGAACCGCCTAGATTTGCAGGTCATTTATTGTTTTGCACTTTCTGATTGTGTTTTCATATGTTAGCTTATATATTTAGCTTAAAGTTTTCTCTGGGTTTGTTTTGGAGGTCCTACTGTAATAAAATGACTCGCTACTTTTCTTCCTTAGAACGCACTGGATGATCTCAGGGTACAAATGGGAGTTGGAGATCGCATGCCAGCAAGAGATAGGCGATTTGTAAACAGGCCTGTTCCTTTTAACGCGAACAACAGAACGTTTCGGCCTGGAATATCCTTCTCACTTTGTATAACACTCTAACTAAATGAACTTTTCGAAGCAGATGTCACGAATATTTAGAACTACCGTATTATGAATTATAGCTTCTGCTTTTAGTTTAAACTTTTTCTTGTTTTATTATTCTCATCTCTAATTTTGAGAAACTGAATATCTGGAAACTTTCGTGTAAAATTGAGTTAGAATGTTTAAGTCCTCAACAGTCTGTGAGTGGAAATGTACACGCATCATTGTATATCACGTTCCCTTGAGGATCGAAGCTCGTCGGAAGAAAATTGTCCAGTTTTAGTTTTATTTGATCAAGTTTGAGCCATCCTTAACCTTGACCACATAGATGCATCATCACCTTATCATCCACATCACTTGTCGCCGCCACACATGGATCAGTGGAGAGAACGAAGGTAAGCTTAAATTTTGGTAAAAGTTGTAAAAATATCCCCATTTGTCGGCTGATACGTAGTTGTAAACAGCACTGTATAATTAATTTGATTACTTATAATGCTGCATTTGGAAACAAGTGAAAGCCCGCTCGTTGCCTTCGTTCTAGTTTAAATGTTGTCAAGTGTGGTGGTGATCACGAAAAATTGGCGCGCTGAAGCTTAAACTTCGGTTTCCCGCGCAACTTGAGCTTGAGGTTGAGCTTAATTCATTGCAGATTAATGTAACAATAACATCAATATATGAGATTTGGTAATGAAATTTGGCAGCTTATTGATCATCGATTTTCACTTAGCAGGACATTTATTCCCAAGCGGTGGTACCTTTATCGGATGTTCTGATTCACCTGTTCATCAGCTGAAAGTTTGTTTGGTCATTTTTGCTGACCATTGCTAAGCAGAAGGCATTCACTAGAAAATTTAACTGCATGTCCTTGCAGTTCGTCAAACACAATGCATTTTTACTTAATGTAGTGGCAAATGGTTATTTTTGAACGTCTTGAACAACATTTTTGAGGTCATACATGTTTAAATTATGTGGTTGTCAGCGATCTCTATGTTTAACATAAATTAGTTTAGTTTCTGGTTATGTGATAAAGCTTGAAATAAAATTGAAGGTTAAAATTTTTTAACCCAGCTTGATTACCAGTTTACTTTGACAAACAACCTAATATATGAAATTTCCACTCTCCACTCTTTGTCTGAAACTGCTACTAATAAACTGTTTCCTCTGGATATTTACAGTGTTTACATCTGATGATGTAAGGATAATTATTAAAGTTTCCTACAGACATTTTTGCCATTAAGGTGATGTTACACAGGGCGATTCGCAACAACAATTTTTAGCGCAACACAGTGCTGCAATGTTGGAACAATGTTGTAACCATGCGAAACAATGTTGCAACGCTGTGTTGCGCTAAAAATCATCGTTGCAAATCGTCTTGTGTAACATCACCTTTAGCCAAGCCGTATGCGTCATATGAATGACCCTTGCCTAAAACTAA